AGACATGTCGTGGTGCTCGATGAACTACCGGGTTTATATGGGCTCAAGTATGACAGTGCGGCCACTTGCAGGTTGCCATTGTACTTGTGCTCTTATAAATTGGTCGGTTCTACGATAGAAGAGGTCCCAGAACCGGTTGTACCTGCTCAACTTGAAGGTGGAGCAGCCGGTGTGCCTAGCGGCATGGCACACCGAGGAGCCGTGGCTGTGGCATGCCTGGTTTGGACATCTCAGCTTCGACGCGCTTGGTCAGCTAGAGAAGATGGTCCGAGGGCTGGCCCACATCAAGCACGGAGGTGAGCTGTGTGATAGCTGCCTGGCCAGAAAGTAGAGGAGGCTGCCGTTCCCAAAGACGGCCAAGTATCACGCGGTGGACGCTCTCGAGCTCGTCCACGGCGATCTCTTTGGGCCAATCACGCTAGCCACAAATGGTGGTCGGCGGTACTTCCTCCTACTCGTGTATGATTGTAGTCGCTATATGTGGCTGCAACTCCTGACGAGCAAGGATGAAGCGCGGCGGCGTTCAAGAAGTTCAAGATGCGCGCGGAGGCAGAGAGCGGCAAGAAGCTCCGTGTGCTGAGGACTGATCGTGGTGACTAATTCACTTCAGTGGAGTTCGCTGCGTACTGTGTGGATCAGGGTGTGGTGCGACACCACACCGTGCCGTACTCGCCACAGCAGAATGGCATGGTGGAGCGGTGGAACCAGATGGTGGTCGGTATGGCTCGATCCATGATGAAGGCCAAAGGCATGTCGGCAAGGTTCTGGGGTGAGGCGATGACCACGGTGGTGTTCATCCTCAACCGTGCACCCACCAAGGCCCTAAAGGGCAAGACGTCGTTTGAAGCTTGGTATGGGCGCAAGCCAAGCGTGTCCATCCATCGGACATTCGGCTGCACCAAGCTAGAGGACAGGAGCACACCTAGGGTGTTCCTGGGCTACGCGGAAGGTACCAAGGCGTACTGGCTCTACGACCCACGCGGAGACAAGGTACTTGTCTCGCACGACGTCGTGTTCGATGAGAAGGCTGCCTGGGACTAGAATAGTCTGAGCACGGGGGAAGCTGGCGGCTTCACCAGCACCTTCGTCGTCGAGCACTTGGTCATCCATGATGGTGGAGACGCTGGGGAAGAGGTGGCGAGCACTCCGGGAGGGGTGCCGAGCACTCTAGCGACAGAGCTGAGCACTCCGGGAGGGATGCCGAGCACTCCGGGAGGGGTGCCGAGCACTCCAGGAGTGGAGCCATGCGGTCCTACAGTGGTGGCGACCACTCCAGGACGGGTGCTGAACACTCCCATAGCGCAGCCGAGAAGTCCTGCAGTGGTGCCGATCACTCCGCGAGTGGTGATGAGCGGTCCAGGAGTAGTGCCGAGCACTGCATCCGGGGTGCCGAGCACTCCAGGTACTGTGCCGATCACTCCGCGAAATAGGGAACTCCGTTGATGCCGATCAAGTTCGCCTCACCTCCAAGTGACATCACTGAGTTTGTGGATGCCTTCCACGAAGGTGAGGAGGTGCGGTTCCACAGGCTGGATGACATCGTCGGCGGCATAGGGCCCTCAGGCCTGGTGGGTCGGCTGCTCAGTGAACCAAAGCTGCTTCTCATCAGTGCAGAGGAACCACCCATGTTCGTGCTGGCCGAGCGCGATGCGAATTGGCGACGGGCGATGCTGGAGGAGATGAAGGCAATCAAGGGAAACGAGACTTAGGAGCTCATCGATCCACCTCTAGGATGTCGTCCGATCGGCCTAAAGTGGTTGTACAAGGTCAAACGGGAAGAGCACGGTGCCACTGTAAAGCACAAGGCGTGCCTCATCACCCGAGGCTTTGTCCAACGCGAGGGCATCGACTTCGAGGAAGTCTTTGCGCCGGTAGTGCGCATGGAGTCTGTTCGACTGCTTCTACCTTTAGCAGCAACGAAGGACTGGCGCGTCCATCACCTGGAAATAAAATCGGCCTTCCTCAACAGCGAGCTGGCGGAGACGGTCTTCGTCAGACAACCTTTGGGTTTCACCGTCAAGGGAGCGGAGCACAGGGTGCTCCTACTATGCAAGGCATTCCACGGGCTGCGGCAGGCCCTGTGAACATGGAACGCCAAGCTTGATGCCACACTAGGCGAGCTTGGGTTCACACGGTGGGGAACCGAGCACGCGCTCTACACACGGCGACGGGGAAGAAGGAGCTCGTCATCGGCGTGTATGTGGACGACTTGATTGTCACCGGCGCGCGTGCGGAGGACATCGATAGCTTCAAGCGCGAGATGGAGGCTTATTTTTGAATGAGTGATCTCGGCGTGCTCTCCTACTACCTCAGTATCGAGGTGAGACAGGGGAAGGAGGCGCTCACGCTCAGTCAGAGCGTGTACGCCTCGAAGCTGTTGGAGCGGAGCGGCATGGCTAAGTGTAAGCCATGCGTGACTCCGATGGAGGAGCGGTTGAAGCTAACAAAGGCTAGTACTGCGGTGAAGGTAGATGCAACACTCTACCGGAGCATCGTTGGTGGTCTGTACTACCTAGTCCACACGAGGCCGGACATTGCGTTCGCCGTGGGCTACATCAATCGCTTCATGGAGGATCCCAGAGACGATCACTGGGCTACAGTAAAGTGGCTACTGCGCTACATCAAGGGGACAGTGGATTAGGGGATCGTCTTTCCCAAGACCAGCGGAAGTAGGCTGCAGCTCACTGTGTTCAGTGATGCAGACATGGCGGGGGACATCAACGGACGGTGGAGCACCTCTGGCATGCTTGTCTTCTTCGGGTAAGCTCCAATATCATGGATGTCGCTAAAACAGAAGGTGGTGGCGCTCTCCACGTGCGAGGCAGAGTACGTGGCGGCGGCCACAGCAGCGTGCCAAGTTGTGTGGCTGTGCCGGCTGCTGGGCGAGCTGATCGGTGTGGAAGCTCACCCACCAGCACTGATGGTCGACAACCAGCTCGCCATCGCCCTCACGAAGAATCCGATCCTCCACGACCGAAGCAAGCACATCGACGTGAAGTTCCACTTCCTCAGGGACTGTGTCGATGGAGGGCAGATCGTCATCGAGTTCGTCGAAACTGGTCGACAACTCGCGGACGTCCTCACCAAGCCGCTCGTCCGTCTTCAACTCACGGAGCTGAAGAAGATGGTCGGCATGGAGGGGCTTCAAGGGTTAGCAGCAGGATTAGGGAAAGAATTGTTAGATAATCTGTTGCATCCCTGTGTGAACGCACGGCAGGGGATGTGGTACTGTAGCCACAGTAGGGGCAGGCGCCGAATGGCTCTCCTGCCGTACTGTAGCCACAGTAGGGGCATGCACAAAAGTCAGCCCTGCTGTCACATCTAGTTACTGTAGTAGCATAACAGCTGTACTAGGACTAGATGGATAGAGTTGTATATATAGTTTGCCATTGCAGCTTAGTAAAGAGAGCGAGTTCAGTTTGTCATCTCCTCTGCAGAGCTCCGGCCAACGCTGGTGCTTGTGCTGTGTGTGCTCTGTTCTCCCTCCCTTCTTCTACTTCTAGCCATAGTGTGTGATCGGACAACGATAGTTGTGGTCGGCAACGCTGGTGAGTGATCGACTCACCCGTACTGGTGATCCTGTGGGCTAACATTATTCTCGTAGGAGACAAGTACAAAATGCGTTCTCTAAGTTTCTCAGGTCAAAAATAGATTTAAAATCGATTTGGAAAACAAGTCGGTTCGGACCCAGAAGGAAAATCAGCCTGCCGGTTTCCTTGGGCCTAGCATAGTGGCCGGCTGGGGGAGCACCGGCCAGGCTTGTTTGGTCTGGGCTGGCGCCATCTCCTTCTGTCTTTGAATTTTGCCTTGGCTTTGAGTTTTGTTGCACCAAATGTTTTCCAGTATGTTCTTGATACTAGGAACATGTTAACATCGGCCAAACTCCATGTTGGCACATTTTGCATGTCAACAGGATTATTTTGTTGCTTTTGTTTTTCCATTTCGACTCGTATTCAGTAACTTCAATTTGTTGCGTTATTTTAACTGTCTTACTACACCTGAAAATATAAACGTTGACAATATACCAACATCATAGTAGGCATGTTGCAGTTCATACATAAGCTGCTAGATACCTTGTCCTTCAAATCTTCGGAGAATGGTAGATCGTTTCTTGATTATTGTTTTCTTAGGGATGAAACTGCTTCAGGTGAGTCGTGAGAAGTCTCGCATACGTACTCCTCACAGTATGCGTTTGTTACATCAGTTACAAATGGTCACGACAATCACCACTATCCGGAAACCGTCTCCTCGTGAACTTCGAGGCGTACAATGCCATCCAGCCAGCCTGATGGGCATGGTAATCACCCCCATTGTACGTGCTTGAGACGCTTCATCTCCGTTGCGGACGTTAGTACTATAGATGATTCGTGTTGGGTCTGCTTACATAGATTTTGACTATGAACATCTTTACGTATGTGTGTAAGTCATGGACTTCCTTTTCAGAAAGTTTCAGGGCTATCGCATGTTATACGCCCAGTGCTTTTATTTTGAGATGTGCCTCAAATGCTACATATGGGCATAGGAGTATAACGTATCGACGGAAGAATGTCATGCTAGTATCACATGGGAGGGAGTGCGTCCGACGACACCCCTCACGACTGGCGTGGTGTGTAATGGTTACCCTCCCGAGAATTATGCATGGCAACCCACCTGGACCTGGGCTTATCTTTGAGCTCTTTTTAATACGACGGCTCCAAAAGAGGAACATATTGAAAACAAAGAAGATATATATAGACCTATAAAATCCAAGGAGCACCCTAAAAAGTTTAGCATAAAATCAAGCTAGTAATTAAAACCTGCAGTGTACTAATTAATGATTTGATTTTTGGCTATAAATAGATGCGCAGACCAGCCTCCACCAATGGGATACAGAACCTACACATCACTTCCTTATGCACTTGACATATTTGTCCTTATAATTCACTCGCTTTTCATCTACGACCTAAGGAGCAAGAATCCTGCCTGCCTGCCGGATCAAGAACGTAACTAGGCCAGGAGCCATGAGCTCTTCGGTCAACCTTGGGGCGAGCGCAGGCGGCAGTGGCGGTTCATCAGGCGTGCCGAGTGGGGGCGTTGGAGGTGGCGGCGGTGGGCCGCCGTGCGGTGCGTGCAAGTTCCTGCGGCGCAAGTGCGTGACCGGGTGCATCTTCGCCCCCTACTTCGACTCGGAGCAGGGCGCGGCACACTTCGCGGCGGTACACAAGGTGTTCGGCGCCGCTAACGTGTCCAAGCTGCTGCTCCAGATCCCGCCTCACAAGCGCCTGGACGCCGTGGTCACCGTGTGCTATGAGGCTCAGGCGCGCATCCGCGACCCCGTCTACGGCTGCGTCTCCCATGTCTTCGCCCTACAGCAACAGGTATGCATGCAGCGCGTCAATGTAGTACTAGCTAGTACGAGCACATGTCATCATCATCATATCACCGTGGTTCTTTCGGATCTGTCATCATTTGGAGCTTCATGCGTTATCCAAGATGCATGGGCAGATGGATCTTGATTCTTTTGGGGCGGACTTGTTTTTTGGGTGTCTTCCTCGAGGAGGAAGGCATTGGGATTTGGGCCTTCTAGTGAGGAAGAAAGGATGACAAGCAAGCAAGGGGAGCAAAACAAGCAAGCAAGGAAGCCTGCCAGGGATCAGAGTTATTTTTTTAGGCGATTTTCTGTTACAAATGATATGATGTGCACATCTCATCTCATCGATCTTTTCATAAATTCCATTGCCCACTTCTCTGATGACAATTTCCATCTATATATTGCATCATCTTTATGTGGTGGTTGTTGCTTTTATTTCTCGCTTTTGTCATGAAACCAAGTAGGGGTGAAGATCTCCTGCTCGGCGTCCTCACTCTCTGTGCAGTAGTGGAAAAAGGAAAGCGATTAGACTTGGCGTCAATCCCTTCCTTCAGACAACTGATCTTTTTTCTGTTTACAAATCAAGAATCATGCATCACAGTCTACACTCTACATTACAGTTGTTGTGTTTCCAACACTTTCGTCGGGGATCTACATTAATTGAGCCTATATGTGATTTGAAGTTTGCAGCCGTTCTGATCTCAAACAGTTTTATCCAGCTAACTTTTTTTTTTGTGTGTGTGTTTGCAGGTGGTGAACCTCCAGACCGAGCTCACGTACCTGCAAGGCCACCTGAGCACAATGGAGCTCCCAACGCCACCACCTTTTGCTCAACAGAACCAGATGCCAATGACTGCCGCATTCTGTGTTTCGAACCTGCCGTCCGCGTCCAACAATATCATCCCGGCCACCGTCGACGTGTCAACATTCTTTGAGCCACAGACGCAGCAGTCCCAGTGGTTCTCCCAGCAGCAACAGGTGCAGCAACACCAGCTTAACCAACAGCAGTATGTCACGGTTGGGGAGGGCCCTGGCACTGGCGTCAGTGGAAGCGGCGCTACAGGAGGTGGAGACCTGCTATTGCTAGCAAGGGAGATTCTGGACCGCCATGGCACAGCAGCAGTTGGCTCGCAGTCGCAGCCAGAGCCGCCGTGCACACAGTGAGCAGACTGTTTGATCTGCAAAGAAGGATGATTAATCATTCATATCTTGTTCAAGGAATTCTAGGCGGTAAGACAGGATATAGAATGAGGCTGACTGACGAAGACGATGATGCATGTAGGAACATGGTAGGTAACAGGCATCGACCGGGTTTCAATCGGGTACCAGCTTTGTTCGTGGCCGAGGGTGCAAGGGTGCCCATTGTTCCACACTTTTCCTGGGAGTATGCTCCAAAGGAGGAATGAAGCGGGACGGGAGTTCTTAGTTGTAGCCTAATGTTAGCTTCTGTCATTGTTCCATTGCAACAATTCTATTAGGGTTAATTATTACCTGATCTAATTGCTGTCACACCTAGCTATAGCTCTAGACTCTTCGATCTATTAGAACATCATTTCATTTGTTATCCCAAATTACACATATATCAAATTAAAGTAGTCTGAAAACTTTCTTGTTTCCCAGTATATATACTTATGAGAATTTTTCCTTTATTAATGTTATAAAGCTAAATATTGTTTCTCTAGTACTGATTAGAGACCGCGGAACCGTACTTTTGTGTGACTGCTTTGACTATACGATCATGCATGTTTCTCTTCCAATGTCTCTTAAGTTATATCGTATATGGCCTTGTTCTCAAGGTTCCTCGTCTTCTATACCTAAATAGGAGATCCTCGTTAGCTTATTTTCCTGGCTTCTCCTTAAGCCACGTCACCCACTTTCTTTGGAGCCATCATTCCTTTGAGCACCAACCCACAGAAAATTACTGCAGCATCAATTCCTCCACAACAAGGCCACAAACGCACCATCGATTCATCTGCCATAACAAACGCACCTAAAATGAATTGACACTGCCGAAGGAAACGAAAGGTCCTCGGCTCCTCGCTGCGGTCGATTTAAATAGCTCCGCACTGCCTCTGCTATGCTCGCCGGCCAACCCGCTGCCCGCTCCGCCTTCGCCATGCCCTGCCCCGCTCGGCAGAGTCGCACCGCATCGCACAGCCTCTGCCCGGCTTCTCCCAGCTCAACCGTTGCAATGTCCCCGACGGGATACCACGCTCGACCTCAACCGTTGCTGCCTATGTTATGAACGACGTATAGGAATATGAAGTAAAGAATCAAGCCATAGAGAAGATACACGATTTAACGTGGAAAACCCCTCCAATGTGAAGGGGAAAAACCACGGGCACCAGCCAGCAACAATCTCACTATCTCAAGAGTTTTGGGTTACACGCCTATGACGACTTACAAGAGAATCAAGTCTCCACGAAACCCTAGCAATGGTGTATATACCAAGCCTCCGGCGACGGGCCTCCGCTCCGCTCCGTCAGAAGCCCGGCCTATATCCTGGAGTGAATTTGGAACAACTCCAACAAACTCCACCTTGAGACAAATTCATCTTGTATTATAAATCAATCCTTCATCCTGAATATAACAAAGATAGAAAACCACTGGTGCCAACAATAATCTCTTGGACTATCCAATTAAACCAACTAAGCTTGAGCACAGCTCAAACTTAGCAACAGGAACAGGCTTTGTCATCATATCAGCAGGATTATCATGAGTACTAATCTTGCATACCTTCAGCTTACCTTCTTCAATCGCATCACGCACAAAATGATACTTGATATCTATGTGCTTAGTTCTCTCATGGAACATCTGATCTTTAGTGAGGTAAATTGCACTTTGACTGTCACAGTGCAAACTTATGCAAGATTCAACTCCACAAAGCTCAGCGTACAAACCTTTCAGCCAAATTAATTCTTTACACGCTTCACAAATAGCCATATATTCTCGCTTCAAGAGTAGACAAAAAACAACAACCGACTCGTAAAGTAGCCTCCAACTCACAAAGACAACCGCCAACAAGAAACACATAACCTGTAAGTGATCTTCGCCTGTCCAGATCAGCAGCATAATCAGAATCCACATAGCCAATAAGACCCTTATCAGTTCTTCCAAACTTTAAACAGGAATCTGTTGTGCCTCTGAGGTACCTGAAAATCCACTGAACTACCCTCCAATGTTCTTTGCCAGGATTAGACATATATCTACTAACAAGACTCATAGCATATGACAAATCTGGACGAGAGCAAACCATGGCATACATCAAAGACCCAACAGCACTAGAATAAGGAACCCTTGACATGTATTCAATCTCTGCATCTGTACTAGGACACTGAGCAGCTGACAACTTAAAGTGAGGTGCAATAGAGGTACTAACAACCTTAGCATTTTGCATGTTGAAACGCTGAAGAACTTTCTTGATATAATTTTGTTGACTAAGAAATAGCAAACCAGATTTTCTGTCTCTACTAATTTCCATACCAAGAATTTTCTTAGCACTACCAAGATCTTTCATATCAAAACCACTACTCAATAGCTTCTTTAACTTAGTGATTTCAATCTTACTCTTGGCAGCAATCAGCATATCATCAACATATAACAGCAAATATATAGGTGATCCATTAACATGCTTGATGTAAACACAGCTATCATACTTAGATCTTTTAAAACTGTGTGCTAACATAAATGAATCAAACCTCTTGTTCCACTGACGAGGGGACTGTTTCAAACCATACAAGGATCTCTTCAACTTGCACACATATTTTTCCTTGCCAGGCACTATGAACCCTTCTGGTTGGTCCATGTATATGTCCTCAAGCTCTCCATGCAAAAACGCAGTCTTCACATCTAACTGCTCAAGCTCAAGATCATGTGAAGCAACAATACTAAGGAAAGTACGAATTGAACTGTGTTTTACCACTAGAGAGAATACATCATTGTAGTTAACTCCCGGAATTTGACTGTAGCCTTTAGCAACTAACCTTGCCTTATACTTTGGAGGCTCGCTTGGAGATAAACCCTCCTTTCTCTTGAAGATCCATTTGCAGCTGATGGTCTTCTTATTCTTAGGTAAAGGTACAATCTCCCATGTACTGTTCTTCTCAAGAGACTGCATCTCCTCATGCATAGCAGAAATCCAATTCTCAGTATCACCACAACGGATAGCTTCTTTATAGGTTGTTTGGCTCATGAACATTCTCCACCTGTTCAAAGACAACTCAAAAAGCATAGTAAGACAAATTACACTCTTCAATAAGACGCTTAGGAGGTGCAATTGTCCTTTTGACTTGACTTATGTTGAGCAATAGGTAAATCCTCTTCTAATCGCAAAATAGGAGTTTGTTGAACATCATCATGAGCATCATCCTCAGCAACATCATTATCATGGTCACCATGCTCATCAACAGGCTCCACCTGCACACCTGTATCATCATCAACATGCTCCACCTGCATGCGCATACGCTGCAGCTCTTTTTCTAGAACATGATCTGAGGGCAAACTGTCAGTAAACATCACAGATTCATTGAAAACAACACTCTTGCTCATAAAAGTCTTTCCTGTTTCAGGATTCCACAATTTATAGCCTTTGACTCCCGAACTATAACCAAGGAAAAGACACTTAACAGCTCTAGGCTCTAATTTTCCATTATCAACATGAGCATAAGCAGTGCATCCAAAAACTTTCAACTGTGAATAATCAGCAGGCGTACCAGACCATACCTCAATGGGAGTTCTTTTATTTAGTGGAATAGAAGGTGACCTGTTTATCAAGTAACAGGCAGTATTAGCAGCTTCAGCCCAAAAATGCTTTCTCATCCTGGCATTAGACAGCATGCAACGGGCCTTGGACATGATGGTTTTGTTCATGCGTTCAGCCACACCATTCTGTTGTGGAGTATGGGGTATGGTGTGATGCCTAACAATGGCTTCCGATCTGCAATAATCATTAAATTCACGCGAACAAAATTCTCCACCATTATCAGTACGAAGCAATTTTACCTTCCTTTCAGTTTGCCTTTCTATCATTACTTTCCAGTCCTTAAAAGCAGCAAAAGTAACATCTTTCTGTTTCAGAAAATAAGGCCAAACCCTTCTAGAGTAATCATCAATAATTGTAAGCATGTAACGAGCACCACCAAGTGAGGACTTACGGGAAGGGCCCCATAAATCAGCATGAACATAATCAAGAGTACCTTTAGTGGTGTGAACATAAGTGTTGAAATGTACCCTTTTATGCTTCCCGAAAATACAATGCTCATAAAACTTTATTTTACTCGAAGTGCAGCCATCCAGCAGGTTTCTCTTCATCAATTCTGTCATACCATGGTGACTCATATGTCCCAAACGCATATGCCAAAGGTTAGTTTTACTAGGTTCATCATTAGTAACAGCAGCAACAGAGACCTTACCAGCCGACTTGTTTTTCCTCTTCTCCTTATTTACCAGGTAAAGTACACCCTCTAAGGACATATAACTTTGCAGAATTAAGATCACCTTTCAAACAAACAAGAGAACCTTTTGATACCTTCAGAACGCCATCTGAACCGGAATATTTGTAACCTTCTGCATCAAGCGTGCTCAATGAGATAAGATTTCTGGACATCCCTGGTATATACCTGATGTTTTTCAGCGTGTGTGTCATGCCATCATCAGTCTTGATATGAACTGATCCAATCCCCACAATGTCACACGGGTTATCATCTCCCATCCGCACAACATCCCCTTTCTGCACAGGCTTATACGAGCTAAACCAATTTCTGTTAGTGCAAATATGAAATGAACATGCGGAATCGAGAATCCATTCATCATGACCAGCAACACAACCAGCAAATACTACCAGACAATCTCCAGAATCATCATCAGACGCAGCAGCAGAACAGAGACCTTACCAGCCGAATTAACTTGTTTTTCCTCTTCTCCTTATTCTGTACTTTTCTGCAATCCTCAACATTATGATTTGTCAGCTTGCAATAAACACAGAACTTTTTATTACCATGCGGCTTGGACTTTGAACGGCCTCTCCTTTCGTAGTTCTTTCTTCCATCATTGCCATCATTGGAGGATCTGTTTTTAGTTCTGCCTCTCACATGCAAAGCATCGCCCTTGGAGGACGACGTCCCGTCATTCTTGCACCATGCCTCTCATCTTCTCCCTAGATGGAG